GTTACCCAGGCTGGGGTGCAATGGCGCGATCTCGGCTCACCGCAACCTCCGCCTCCTGGGTTCAGGCAATTCTCCTGCCTCAGCCTCCTGAGTAGCTGGGATTACAGGCACGCACCACCATGCCCAGCTAATTTTTTGTATTTTTGGTAAAGACGGGGTTTCACCATGTTGACCAGGATGGTCTTGATCTCTTGACCTCGTGATCCACCCGCCTCAGCCTCCCAAAGTGCTGGGATTACAGGCTTGAGCCACCGCGTCCGGCCTAAACCTCTCTCTTTAGTTTAGTTTAAAAAAAAAAAAAGGTATCATTATCTAGTATTTCACATATCCTTTATTATATTATACAAGCCCATAGTTATCGCAGTCCCTAATATAGAGCTAATTCATCCAGGAGACTTAATAAAAATTTATTGGGTGAAAGCAAGTATTCTTCCAACTCCTCCAACTTGTAGCCTGGTTTAGGCATCAATATAAACTCTGTCAACTGACTGTGTCTTGGAAACGATTAACAGGTGCAAAAATATCCCTGTGGAAGATCTTTATAAAGAGAATTGATGGCTATATAAATACAGTTTACTTAAACCATCAATTTCCTTTAAATAAAAGAACTATGTTGATAGATTTTTCATATATGTATAAAGCTTAAGAGAATTCCCCCTTTGTACGGGCTATCAGTTTTTGTTTCTACTTATTAAGGATGTACTTCATATTCATTTTACTTGACACCACAGGAAATTGTGCATGCCTCAGGCTACATAATTCTGAGCCTATTTCTGAGATGCTCTATTATTTCAAACTGTCACAAGGTCAGTTGACTCTTAAAATACATCAGGTAAAATAAGATCACCTAATATTTTATTTATAATATTAATTTAAGGCTGGGTGCGGTGGCTCACACCTGTAAACTCAGCACTTTGGGAGGCCAAGGTGGGTGGATCACAAGGTCAAGAGATCGAGACCATCCTGGTCAACATGCTGAAACCCCTCTCTACTAAAATACAAAAAGTTAGCCAGGCATGGGTATGCGCCTGTAATCCCAACTACTTGAGAGGCTGAGGCAGGGGAATTACTGGAACCCGGGAGGCAGAGGTTGCGGTGTGCAGTTCAGCCTGCCAACATAGCAAGACACCGTCTCAAAAAAATATATATATATATTTATGTATATACAATTTAAACACCATAATAAATATCTATGTTCAGTAACATTTGCCTCATGTTCTGACATTGCTTTTTCCAGAATGTATGATACATACACATGATAATGCAAGAGTTACAGCACTGCAACTTCAGTGCAATAAACAATTTTAGCATTATTTACCACTTTGGACTAATTCGTTGCCCCCACATAATCCTAACAATTAGGATTAAAAACTTACCTATTCAATCTATTTTAAGTGTATCTTTTTCCTTTACTGAATTTTCCTTGGAAATCAAGAAATACATACTTGTTACCAAAAAAAAAAAAAAAAAAAAAAGAGAAAAAACTGTCTCAGCTCAAAACTTTTATTCTAAGATTAATATTAAATAGTGATACTACTGAATATTACATACAGACCACTCAAGAAGCAAATTTAAGCCAATGTGCAACTTGGTTAATGCAGAAATAGTTATCTGTTAGAAGTGGCACTGGCCAGAAGAAATGAAAGTAGCTATCCTTTATTTAAAGGCAAACACGTACTATTTGCTATGTGAGGTACTTGTAAAGGGCTTTAGCTTAATGATTTGATGTAATCCTCACAACAATCTCATGAGAGAGGTATTAATGTCAGTTTCGTTTTTGTGAATAAAGAAACTGAGGCTCTTCAAAGTAAAGTAACTTGCTCATAATCACACAGATAATGGGTCATGTTTTTAACATCACATAACTCACAGCTTGCTCTGGTTTTCAAAAATTCCAAATCTATTGTTAAGGGTTCCTCTTGAGATTATTCGGAAGGCAAAGCTTCTTCCTATTAACATTTCCATGCATATCACCTTTACCTAGGTACCTGCTGCCTTCTGTGTACAACCAGCACAGGAGAGTGGATGTGCTGTGTGTATAGTTTCCACACACACAAACATGTAACTTTAATGCTTGTAACTTTAAGTCTTCATTTTAAAAGTCTGCTAAACTAGCCGGGTGTGGTGGCTCACACCTGTAATTCCAGCACTTTGGGAAGCTGAGGCGGATGGATCAAGAGGTCAGGAGGTTCAAGACCAGCCTGGCCAAGATGGTGAAACCCCAACTCTACTAAAAATACAAATATTAGCCAGGTATGGTGGCAGGTGCCTGAAATTCAAGCTACTGAAAAGGCCAAGGCAGGGAATCACTTGAACCCGGGAGGCGGAGGTTGCAGTGAACCGAGATCACGCCACTGCACTCCAGCCTGGGCGACAGAGTGAGACTCCGTCTCAAAAAAAAAAAAAAAAAAAAAAAGTCTGCTAAACTCACTAAATTATTAGAAACTTGATGTGTTAAATCTTTGAAAAGAATTATGTTTTAAAAGAAGATAACCAAGAAAGATGATAACCAAAAGGAATTGCTTAGTCTGAAGGAAACAGTTACTCATGGTAGAATTTTAGACAAGCGTGAAGAAGTGTAATTAGTTGAGTTGGTTCTCAGTCTTGGCAGCACATTAGGATCACCTGGAGCACTTTAAAAGCGTTCTTACCCAGCAATCCCTAGAGGTTCTTATTCAATTGCTTTGTGTGGTGGATACTGGGTACCAGCGTGTTTGAGAAAATCGCCTAAGGTTGTGATAATCGTCAACCAAGGTAAGAAAACCACTAGTTTAGATAAGGAACTTCTAGAACTGTTTACAAAATGCTTACATATCTAAAAACTTGGATCTGGCTTTGGTTTTCCTCAGACAGTGAATCAGTCTGTGGCACTGAGCTTGCTCTCTAAATGAAACACAATTTTTTCTTCACCAACATACAAGTATGTGTACTTCAAGACTTTTAAAAAATCTTTTTCTATGAAAGAATTAGAAGAAAACATTGGAAAAATGTTTTTAACTCTGAAGTGTGCAATGGCTTATAAATCACAGAAGCAAAACAAGAACGGTGGGCAAATTTGGCTATGAAATGATCACTTATTTCTGAACAGCAAAAAAAATCATAAAGCCAAAATTAAAACTTCACACTGAGAAAAGCTATTTGCAACACATGTGACAAATGGGTAATTTTCTTAAACTGTAAAAAAAGGAGCTTGACAGGGCTGAGAGAATTAGGAGCAGCAATACCCCAACAGCCATGTGCACACCTAGCAACCAAAGCTTAGTTTCTAAATACTATTCTCCATTAAAAAGAACTGGCATCCTTAGAGAAATGGCTGATTCCAAGGCTGGGGCAGAAAAAGGACCAGATGAGCCTGGAACATCTTCTCATGCCAGGAAGTAAGAAAGTACTAAACAAACTATGAGGACTTGTGAAAAGGATATGGGAACCACCTTCAAGGGGATCCCACTGGTCATTTGAGTATCAAAATAAATATAGTAACATTATAATCCATTGAATGAAATAGCACTCCAAGAATCCACACTGACGTAAATAGAAAGTTAGATATCTAACAAGATATTTATGTAGCTTAAAGTATCTCCCCACAAAATATTTGTTGATTTAAAAAGGGGAAGAGGAAAATACAGAGAAGACTGACAGGTGTGACTTTAATAGTGTGATCTAAGTTAACATCATCAGCTCATCAGACAAATCAAAATCACATTCCATCTGATAGGATACAATGAGAACCAACATCCCTTTGGTGGCATTCTTGCCAAAATGCATACTGTGAATCTAATCATGAGGTAACAAAATGACAGCCATTCTATTAAAAAAAAAAAAAAAAAAAAAAAAAACAAATCTGTAATCTTCAAAAGTATCCAAGTAACAAAAGTCAAGGAAAGGCAGAAACTCATTCTAAAGTGAAGGCGACTTAAATAACAACTAACTAAAACACTTGATTCTGAACCAGATTTTTTTCTGTGAAGGATATCATTATGACAGTTGGCAAATCTTGAATGGAATCTGAGAGTTAGTTGGTAGTAAGGTATCAATTTTGATCTCCTGATTTGGGTACTTGTATTGTTGTTATGTGGGAATATGCTCTTGGACTAAAGTATTTAGGGATTATGGGCCATCAGGTCAACAATTTATTCTCAAATGATTCTAGGAAAAAATATACAGTGTTTGCCATTTTTCTGTAAGTAAAATTGATTCAATTCTTTTTTTCTTTCTTTGAGACAGAGTTTTGCTTGTCACCCAGGCTGGAGTGCAATGGCACAATCTCAGCTCACTGCAACCTCCACCTCTAGGGTTCAAGTGATTCTCTTGACTCAGCCTCCCAAGTAGCTGGGATTACAGACATGCACCACTATACCTAGCTAATTTTGTATTTTTAGTAAAGACAGGGTTTCACCATATTGGTCAGGCTGGTCACGAACTCCTGACCACAGGTGATCCACCCGCCTCAGCCTCCCAAAGTGCTGGGATTACAGGTATGAGCCACCCCACCCGGCCTGAAAAATTTTTAATGCATTGGAATTTATTAGGAAAGCTCAGTGAGGTAGAGATGTGAATATCCATATTCACAGGAAAGGGAGAACAGTAGCAATCCTCTAGATACTATACATGGCTAAACAATACAAGACCTTGCTAGCAAAGTATCGAAAGATCCTACCTTGAAGTTTCCACCACAGGTTTCACCCTGCCTTCTGACATTTAGGATTGCCACTAAAAACCACAGGAGACTGCTGGAAGCAGAGGGACTTCTTGGAGTAGAAATGATTTATTTTCCTCCTCAAAATTCAGTGGAAGAAAGAAGGAATCTGTAAAGAGAAAGATTATGTAAATAAAGCTCTGAAGTTCTGCAGCATTTCTCTAGCAAAACTGAACATTTAACTGCAATAAAAAAAATTTTTTAAAGCACAGATATTTATGAAGTTTCAACAAATGCTTTACAAGCACAATTTTTTTAAAAAGCACACTCAGTTTTTTTAAATGCTACCTCTTCTCAGAGATAAGAAAGACAGTGTTCATTGAATTAGAGCTTAAAGAGACCTCTGGAGCTCATCTAACCCATATACCTCCTGCTGAATTATAACCCCATCCTCTTTGTTCTGCCCCAGTGTCTGTGGAGAACAGATGGAAGTCATCCTCTGATCCCGATGAGCTCCAGGGTCTGCAGATAGAGTGCCTAGCCCCTACGCAGCCTGCAGTCATGCCATGCCTGATTCCCGTCAGATCTCCTCCAGCTGATGTCAATGTTGATGTTTTGTGGTTCACAAGCTCCACGGGCAACAGGCTTTTTAGAACAATGCTTACCTCCTGGCTGGCCTTTTGCTAATCCTCTTGAACCGTGTAGCTTGTGGACCAAGCTAAATGGGAAAGGGTGGAAATTGGCTTTCATTATATTCTGAGGATATCTGTGGGGTGCACAATGGTTGTATTTCACCTTTTCCTAGAGCATATTCATCTTTCAAACAAGATTGCTTGCTAGAGTCACTTGTCCAGCTTCTGTTCCCAGACTTCAAATGCCCTGCAGAAAGAACAGCACAATCGGTCTGCTGTTCCTCCTTCCTTGCCCCTTCCTTCTATACAATGGATTAACCAGCCATCAAGTGGATTGGCTGAAAGACCCCTTTATTTTTTGCTTTCACCTAGCATGAGATGATTGGGCCCAAAGTGGAGAGCTCCACAGGAGAGGGAAGCCATGGACAGAGAGAATGCTAAAATTAGGGAAATAACCAGGGAAATCTATCTCTGAGAAATCTGAGTTCACATGTTTTATACCTGAAATAAACTGCAGGAAATCAATGAATCTTCATAAAACCACAGAGTGGGAACAGACTTTATAGGCACTTGTTCCAGCTGAATCCTGTTTAGCATGAATACTCATAGGAGTTCTTGAGCTATAACCCACATTTCATTTACAAAAGCTTTTTTCTTTCCTCTTTTGATCCACATAGGAAGCAAGTTTGTATGGTACTGCCTGGTTCCTACAAGTTGTGATAATGTCCCTACCTTCTGCCTAGATAAGAATATACAAAGTCAGTATTTCTTATGCCTCTCAACTTGCCAGTGAGGTAGGAACTACTATTTTCTCCATTTCTCAGATGATAAAACTGATTCTTAGAGAAGTTAAATGACTTATTCAAGATAAGTCACAGAAGCTAGGAGTGGTAGAAGCAGAATTTGAAGCCAAACTGTCTGACTCCAATGTATGTTAATAATCTCATTTCTGAAAAAAAAAAAAAACTGTAGGTTTTGATGCACACAAAAGAATGCATGTTCTGGCTGTCTCTTGTATGACCAACCATTTCCAACTTTTTGGATTACAACAGTGATGTCCTCTCTCTCTCACAGTTCTGGGGATTTACTGGGCTCAGTTGGGTAGTTCTCTCTTGCAGTTTCTCATGCAGTTGCAGTCAGATGGTGGCTGGGGCTGGAGTCATGTGCAGACTCAACTGTGCTGGACACCCATGACAGCTTCCTCACTTATATAACCAGTGTCTCCACTGGGAATAGCCAGACATACCTTGTTTCCAGGCAGCCTCTCCATGTGGCTAACTTGGGCTCCACACATGGCACTCTCTGGATATTTGGACTTCCTGCATGGTGGCTTGCTTTCTCAGAACATGTGTTCCAAGAGGCCTAGGAGGCAGATACAAGGCTTCTTGTGACCTAGGCTTGGAAGTAGCACAGTGTCACTTCTGCTCCATCCTCTTGATTAAACCCCCAGGTTCAATGTGGGAGAGGAATATACAAACGCATGAACACTGGGAGGCATGGTGCTTTGGAGAGCCCTCTTTGCAGACTGGTTACCAAATATAAGTTATGAAGCATAATCAAAACATAAACAGCCATCAATCCACCATTCAACTAGTGAAATAAAATTTTATCATCACCATTGAAGATATTATGTATTTTATCCTTAGCCAAATCCACTGACCTCTACAAGTGGTAATGCTATCCTAAATTGTGTAGTTTTATTCCCTTGCTTTGCTGAAAAACAATGTGTGTTTTTAGACTGTTTAATTTTGTTCTCTTTAAAACCATATTTGAATGGTATTACATAGTATTGTCAACCTAAATAACAAACAGAGAGAAGTTCTCTAAAAATATTTAGTTTAATCAGGAACGAGTAGGGCATTGCAATGTGGGACACACATGCTATGACAAATCACGGGCACATCTGGGAAAGCAAAGAAAGACAAGCATTTTTAAAGGCAAAATGAGGATGGTGACATAAGTTGTTGTGAGACAATTATCCTTGGCTACAAGGATCATTAACAAGGGTAGTGTCAGTCCAAGACAGGAGAGGCAGTTGCTGAGTAGATGTCCTCACAAAAGTATTTTCTTTCTCTCTTTGTGCATGTGTGTGTGAATGCAAGGTTGTGCTGGTTTTATGCAAGATTGTGGTTTTGGCAGAACCTTTTGGGATAGTTTCTGGAAAATATGTGTGAGAGTCCCCCCTCCCCGCCCCCCACCTACTTCATGATTGCCTAACTCCATTTGCCAGCGTCTGACATAAGTCACTCCACTTTGATTTCAACAACTTTCACAGTATGAAGTCTTTCATTACTGCTTTTTTGCTCTCAAAACTCTACAGTGGTTCCCACTTACCCACAGTTTTGTTTCCCATGGTTTCAGTTACCCATGGTCAACTGTGGTCCAAAAATATTAAATAGAAAGTTCCAGAAATAAACAATTCATAAGTTTTAAATTACATGCCATTCCGAGTAGCATGATGAAATCTTGCACTATCTCCTTCTCCCCAGCTGCGCAGAAATCATCCCTTTCTCCACTGTATCTGCACCATCCATGCTGCCCACATGTAAGTCACTTAGTAGCTGTCTCAGTTATCAAATCAACAGATCACAACAGGAAGAAGGCTAAGTACAGTACAGTGAAATATTTTGAGAGGGAAAGAGATAAGAGATCAAACGTACATAACTTTTATTACAGTATATTATGATAATTATACAATTTTATAATTCGTTGTTAATCTTTTACTGCACCTAATTTATAAATTATAAACTTTATCATAGTTATGTATAGGAAAAAACATAGTATATATAGTGTTCAGTACTACCTGAGGTTTCAGGCATCCACTGGAGGACTTGGAATATATTTCCCGAGGATAGGGGGACCCCTGTGTTTGTAAGATTCACCTGTTTAATTGTATATAGATTTGATTCATTCATTTTCACTGTTGTAGGATATTTTCTTGTGGGAAAATATCAATTTATCCTCCTATTCATGGGTATTTCAGATAGTCTTCTTCTTATTATTATTATTTTTGCTACTACACACATTGCTACTATGAACACTTTTCTGCTGTTTCCTAAGGTAAATATATTGGACTTTTTTCTCAGACATAGGCCCAGGAGAGGAGGGTGAGTCCTGAGTTATAGAGAAAATCATCTTTTAATCAATTCCCTGGCTCCAGGATCATACCCCTCAAGTCTGCTCTCTATGCTCTTAGCAGAGTGATCTTTCCAAAATACAAATCTGGTGTTACTCCCTTACACCAGGATGTTCAGTGGCTCCCCATTGACTATACTGGTGGCTCTCAAACTTTTGTGCACACTAGAAGCACCTGAGGGGCTTGTCAAATACACGTGCCCTGATCATGCCATTAGAGATTCTGATGCTGTCACTCAAAGGCATACACATGTATTTCAATAAACTCCCCCAAGTAATTCTGCTGCATACTAAAATTTGAGCATTACTAGATACATCATTAAGGTCAAAATTCTTACTGTAATGCAGAAGATACTATACAATTTGGCCTCTGCCTGTGACTCCAGCCTTATCTTTGGCCCACCTGTCAAGCACTCTCAAATCTGGCATTCTCAAATCTAACAAATCTCTCAAATGGCTTGAAATTCCTGAAATGCCTACTCTGTCCCTAACCCCATCCCATCTGTTTCTTACTATTGCACGTGTAGCTCTTTATTATTATTTTTTTACAGTCAGTCTCTCTCAGGGGAAAGTCAAGGAACTTTTCCTATTGCCATTGTAGCTCCAACATCTTGCATAGTATCTAGGTGCTTAAGGAATATTTGTCAAATTCATTGATTTTTCCCAAGGTCACAAAGCCAGTTAATGATGCATGTGGGATGAGAACCTACAGTTCTTCCTTCTTAGACCAGTGACCTTTCTACACCATCAGTCAGTCGTAATAACCAAACATCGCATTACTACAATGCTCCTAATATCTGGACTAAAAGAAGGATGACCCTTCATTCCCCTTAGGAAAGGAGTATGAATTTCATCCTGAAGGATTACATTGAAAAGAGTATCCTCTTTTCAGAAATATAGGTTGAGCATTCCTAGTCTAAAAATCCCAAATCAAAAATGCTTCAAGGCCAGGCATGGTGGCTTATGCCTGTAAACCCAGCACTATGGGAGGCTGAGGTGGGCTGATCACCTGAGGTCAGGACTTCAAGACCAGCCTGACCAACATGGTGAAACCCCATCTCTACTAATAATACAAAACCAAGCCAGGTGTGGTGGCACATGCCTGTAATCCCAGCTACTTGAGAGGCTGAGGCAGGAGAATCACTCGAACCTGGGAGACAGAGGTTGCAGTGAGCCAAGATTGCACCATTGCACTCCAGCCTAGCCAAAAAGAGTAAAACTTCATCTCAAAAAAAAAGGTGCTTCTAAATAGGAAACTTGTGGAGTGCTGACATTATGCCACAAGTGGAAAATTTCATACCTGACCTCGTGTGACAGGTGGCAGTCAAAATTTTCTTGCACAAAATTATTTTAAAATATTGCATAAAATTACTTTCAGGCTATGTGTAAAATGTGTATATGAAACATAAATGAATTTAATGTTTAGACTTAGATCCCATTCCTAAAATATCTCATTGTGTATATGCAAATATTACAAAATGTTTAAAAAATCCTAAATTTAATAATGCTTCTGGTCACCATCATTTCAGAAATATTCTACCAGGACCAATACATGTACATCCTCAAACCTCAATTTCTTCCCAACAGGACTAAATTATCATTCTCCAATAATACAATGTTTGTTTCTGTTCACTTTAGTAAATAGCTTTGAAAATCTACCATTGTTTTTAAAGGTTGCCTTTGGAAAAGTCATAGAGGTTTGCCTATTTTGTCACTCATCTTGTTTCTATTTGTTTAAATTTATTTATCTTCAAAGATTTATAAATCTTTTCTGCATTATTTATAGCCGATTTCATTGTTTTAATAAACTCAGGCAAACCATGTGTAACTTAGTCAAAACT